GGAACTAGCTCTTGTAGATCAGGCTGGCTTTGAACTCATAGAGACCCGCCTGACTTTGCCTCCTGAGTGCTGGGATTAAAAGGCATGCACAATCACTGCCAAGCTGGAGCTGATTTTTGTGCTGGTGAGAAATACGGATTCAGTTTCTTCTTGTATACATCAGTTTTCTCAAGCACCATTTGTTAAAGAGGCCCAGACCACTTCATAGAATGAGAAGGTAATGGGTCTTTGCCTGCCATTTGGATACGAATGAACAGGAAACTTATATTTGTTATTTGAGAATGTTTTCAAGATCTGAGAGCATATGTGAAAATCCAGCTCTGTGCTTGGTGAGAGGCTTGCAACCCAGGAATGGGGAGAAGTTACAGACTGGCACTTTACCAGACTCCTTAGAGCCTGCTACAGTTACTTCCTGGGTGGCCTGGTTCACGTGACCCTTGGTGCAGTCTGGAAGTGTGTTAGGATCACCTCAGGCCACTGGCCCAGTACATCTCAAAGTCATTCCCCAGAAGCAGCAGAAAAACAGTCTTGGCAATAGAAACATTGCTGGAATTTAGAAATGTCATTAGTCTGAGTTAAAATCCTCTGCTGCTACAGGATCTGAAGTGGGCCTGGGTCAAGGCTCTTTGCCTAACTCTGAGCTCTGCCTCTAATTATTATAGGGAAGAGTGATTTCAGAACTGTATCATAGAGAAATAAAAGTGCCCTGGAGTGTGGTGGCATCTAGCCTTGCCAGTGTTATTTGTGTTAGTGGCCACACCCCTTTGGGTGTGGCTTCAAAAGCATCTGTGATCCGAAGGTGGGGAGGCATGGGGTGGGCATGACTTCTCTTGTGCTCTCTTGGGTCACATATCAGATTGGAAGGGCAGAGTCTGCATCTTATGGAGCAGGAAGTCTGCCTGTGGTTCTTTATTATTATCTGTGTAAGTGTTCCCCTCTAAAACACCCATTTATCATTTATCTTGGGTCTAGTGAACTCATTGTCCCCTGCCTTCACTAGAGGGGTTTGGGTTGACTAAAAATTTCTTTGTTGCTTCTCTTCCCTAGAAGTTGTATTGGAATTTTTTTTTTTTTTTTTTTTTTTGGAAAGTATGTTCAAGCCTGGCATAGTGGGCATACATTTTCTAAAACCAGGGTACAGTAGGAGGATCACAGTGATTTCAAAGCCAGCATGAGATATTGAATGAGAATTGTCTCACAAAAAAGTGCTGGGCATGGTGGTTCATACCTTCAATCCCAGCACTCAGAGGTGGAGGCAAAATCATGGAGATCTCTCAAGTACAAGGCCAGCATCTCTGCTTAGTGAGTTCGAGGCCAGCCAGTATTGAATAGTGAGACTTGTTCTCAGAAAGAGTTGGGGTGGACAGGGCAGAGGGAAAAGAAAGGAAGGAATTTACTTACATATGTCTCTTTTCTTTTTGTAAGCTTAATGTCAAGGCTCCTTCGACAAGGCAGCATTCAACCTTAGCCATTTGGAGGCTTATGAGCTCTGTGTTCTACACAGAGCACCTCAACATTGATAAGATCATTCCCAATTCCATCAGTCTTCCCTGGCCATCACTAAGTCTCACCTTGTCTATAATTTTGTGATTTCTATAAGTCCAGACATCATGCATCTTAAAGACCTGTGCTTGAACACAGGGCTTCTTATGGGACTGATAACTTTTCATTTTTTTAACTTTATATAGGTGTTTTGCCAGCATGAAAATCTATGTATTATGTACATGCCTTGTGCACCAAGAGTTCAGAAGAGGGTATCAGAATCCCTAACACTGGTTTATAGATGGCTGTGAGCTGCAGCCTGGGTGCTGAGAACTGAATCTGGATGCTCTGGAAGAGTAGCCACTGCTCTTCGCCACTAAAACATATCTCCAGAACCCTGAGAATTCTCTGCCTAGACTCTGTCCTAGAATGTCTACCTTTACATTGTCTACAGGATCTTAACCACATGTGTATGCCATAGATGGAAGATGGAGGATCCTGGGCAATGCAGGATTCAGATCCTGACCATTCGCCATCCTTTCCCAAAAGCCCCTTACCTCTCCCTGCAGCCCTCCAAGACACCAGTATGATCTATTTGACACAATCTGTTCAGTGCCCTTCAGTTTTTTTAAACACAGAAAGATGCCCCATAAGTTCCAGTAGTCTCCATTTCTAGCACTCTAAAATCTAAGACAAGGAATTTCAAGTCTTGAACAATTCATTTTAGTAACTTCAGAATAGTCTCACCAAATGTGTAAGTACTGGATGTGTGGTTGTTGCTGGATTGTGGGGCTTGGAGTCCAGGGTGGAGATATCTTCTCTTTCTCAATCATGACACCTGAGATGTCATGCAAATCCTTCACATAGATGGTAGTTTTTATGATGATTAAAAAACATGAAATAAACAACTTCAACAGACCTACAACTCCAAGTTAAATAGAAGCTGTAATTGAAAACCTTTCAACCAAAAAAAAAAAAAAAAAAAAAAAGAAAAAAGAAAAAGAAAAAAAGCCCAGAGCCACTTAGATTGGGTGCTTAATTCTACCAGACTTTAAAAGAAGAAAAATGAAATTATAAAGTTTTCAGGTAAATGGATAGAGCTAGAGACAGTCATCCTGAGTGAGGTAAACCAGACCCAAAAAAAAAAAAAAAAAAAAAAAAAAAAAAAAAAAAAAAAAAAAAAAAAAAAAAAACCCAAACATTACCTGTTTTCTCTTATATGTGGATACTAGCTTTTAAGGTTTTGTGTGCATTTTAATCAGAGTAACCACAGAGGTCAGGTAGATAGCTGGTAAGGGCCCAAGGAGGAAGGAAAGGATTTTCCAGGGAAGGGCAAATAAACTATAGTGTTATAAGAGATAGAGGGGAAACTAAAATAGCATTAAATGGGAGGGGGTTCAAGAGCAGAATAAACAGGGACTACAGGAGTGACAGGTAATGTGAAAGACCTTATGAAAAGCCACATGGAAACCTACTATTATAGAAGCTTCCTAAAATATATACATATATGAAAGGAATGTAAGTTTTTTGAGACAGGGTCTAACTATATAGCCCTGACTGGCCTGAAGTTGACTATGTAGGCCTCAAACTTACAGCAATCGGTCTGCCTCTGCCTCTCAAGTGCTGGGATTAAAGGCATGGATGGCCATGCCTGGTCCTATGAAATGAATTTATATGAAGTCACCATATAATGAGAGGAAAGGTGCCCCACCTAGACATCTTATGCCACCTAGTAAAACCTCCAGTGCCAGGAATAGGTTACATCTTGTTGAGTTGACCAAGGAGTTCTGTATAGCGCCCCCCACCACTAAATATCACAGGCTATTACCAAGGCTATTGGTTACCCTCTGCAACATAACGATAAGGCTCTATTGATAAGACATCACTTATGTCATGGAGAAATCAAGCTGGAGCCCAACTATAAGCTTCACCTGTACTGACTAGTGTTGGTAGTGTTTGGAGGACTTTGTATACTACTGTAGGAGAAAGTTATCAGTATCACCCAGCTACAAACCCTGCAACCTGCAATAGTGACCTGCCTAAGATATACTAGTACAGCAGAAGTACAAATGTTATGGGAGTTACTAACCACTTTTTATAGTTTTAAAGGCCATTCCATGAGCTGGAACCCATACCTGACACTCTTAAAGTAGCTAAGAACATGAGAATAAATGGATGTGCAGAGCGTGAAAGACTTTGAATCACTCAGTCCTGAATGAGATGTCTTCATCAAACTCCTCCCCTCAAGGCTTGGGGATCCATGTGTAGGAGTAGATGGGAAGATTTTTTTTTTTTTTTTAAGGACTCAAAGTTGTAGGTAACTCCAAGGACAAAATGTTTTCCAGATATAACAGAGCTGATCTTCCAGAAACAGCAGAGCTCGTGCACATATGAACTCACAGAGACTATCACATCATACACAAAACAGACAAAATCCCAGCAGGAAGAAAGGGAAATAGACACCTAACCAAGGAGCTATTTGCAAGTGGTAGCTACTGGGAAGGGAACATCACTCTTCTCCAGTGGAGTGACACTGGGTCTGTCAACCACACTCAAAGGCAAGCCCTGTTCCCAGGAGCAGTTGGCTAACACAAAACAGACTCCATGTTGTTGCTGCTGCTTATTTTTTTGGTTTGTTTTTTTGTTGTTGTTGTTTTGTTTTTTATTTTTTATTTTTATTTATTTATTTTTGAAAGAGAGAGTGTGAGAGATAAGGAAAAAAAGAACAGGAAGTTTGGTGAATAAGGAGGAGGGAAGACCTGGAAGAAGTTGAAAGAGGGAAGTAATATGACTAAAATATATTATGTGAAAAATAAAACAGGTTAAAGAAGAAATAGAGGGGAGAACACAAAAAATGAGATTATTAATATGAAGAGATGCAAAATATTTTTAATTCTGTAAGGAAGGAACATTTTAACCAAAGGTTACCAGTCATAGATAGCATCCTACAGTTTTGGCCTAGAGTATTGGGTTCAAAGGCGTTCCAAGCCCACAGCTGACCTGCCCTTGAGTTTCCGGGTGCTTCCTCACGTATCCTGCTTTGTCCTCCAGCACCACTCACTTTGTTAAGTTCTTTTCTTTCATTGCTCAAGTAATGAGGCCTAGCAAACCCTCTATCAGGCCATACTTCTGTGCTGAACCCTAGTAAATAAATACCTGAAATACCTGCGTTTAAAATTAGCAGTAAAAGGCAAATGACACAGCGTTCACCTCAAGTTTGAACACAGCAGCAAATTTTCAAGGTCAACAGAAAAAAACATGAGTGAAGTTTAACATGGAACCTGACGCAAATCCTGACCTAAAGAAGTGAAATTACCATCTTTGGAAAATTGTGCTTCTAAACCTGTAACTGTTGCTTCTTAGTTTACATAAAGCAAGTAAACATCATTAGCAAATCGCCAATGTGGGTTAATGCCCATCATCCAGATGTGTGCTTTAGGTTGTTTCTGGTTGTTAGGAATTAATGTTTTGGTTTTTTGTTTGTTTGTTTGTTTGTTTGTTTGTTTGTTTGTTTTTAGGATGCTATAGTTATCCATGAAGTCTATGAAGAAGGTGCAGCAGCCAGAGATGGAAGGCTGTGGGCTGGAGACCAGATATTAGAGGTACCTCATTCTGAATCACAATTTTAACAGTGAACATGATGGTCAAATTGTCTGTCTTTGATTCAGCTATTCCCGTGGTGAGTTTTGTCCTGTGGAACAAAGCATATCCTTCTTTTTCAATGTTCACTGGACAACTTACTGGTTCATATTCATGACATTGTTGACCTAAATCTGGGGAAATGTTTTTTATTGGAAAAGAAAACTACCAGACAGGACTATGTGTGTGTGTGTGCGTGCCTATGTGTGTGCGTGCATGTGTGTGTGTGTGTGTGTGTGTGTGTGTGTTTGTCTCTCTGTTCTTTCTTACTAAATCCTCTGCTAAAAACATACACATATAGACACATAAATCAATACACCTGCAATTTAGAGACTTTGTTGCCATACATCATTTCCTGAATTCTAATAAGTCATTTGTAAAAAGTAAAGCCATGCATCACCACTAGCATTTTTAAGTCAATAAAAATGAAAAAATTTCCCTTTAGATGTACTAGTACTTACGAAACACTGAGCTACTTGACCAAATCCTTTGATTTGTCAAATCCTTTGATTTAGCTTAAATTGCTAAAGCCTTTTAAATGATGATAAGGAGCTAAAGAGATGGCTGAACAGTTATGGACATGTTCTGTTCTTCCAGGGGATCCAAGTTCAATTCTTGGCACCTGTGTCAAGCAACTTGGCAACCACCTGTAACTCCAGTTCTAGGGAGAATCTGACTCCCCTGGCCTCTGAGGGACCCAGATTCATATGCACATACCTACACATAAACAGGCACACATGTACATATACATACTTAAAATAAGAAAAATAAGTCTTTAAAAGTAGGACAAGCCAAAAAAAATCATTAAATGAGATCATTTCAACTGATGACATTAATACATTAAAGCATAAATAGCGGAACAATGGGAAGTGTGATGCCAAGGAACAGATGAGCAGGAAGCCAGTCTGTAGTCAGACTTTGCTGTCACACTTCTTTTGGGCCACCAGCCCTCAAATCATGACACAGAGCCTTATTATTAATTATGAAAGCTCGGCCTTGGCTTAGCCTTGTCCCCAACTAGCTCTTACAACTTAAGTTAACCCATTTATATTAACCTACATTATGCCACATGGCGTGTTACCTATCCTCAACAGTGTGTGTCCAACTTCCTCAGTGTCTCGCTGGTGTCTCTGGTGTGATTAGATCTAACTCTGAGGTCCTCTCTCCCCCAGAAGTCCCCCCTGTTCTCTCCTGCCTAGCTGTTGGCCATTCAGCTCTCTATTAAACCAATCAAAAGGCACCTTAGATAGAGACACATTTTTACAGTGTACAAAAAGATTATCCCACAACACCAGTCAATTCCAGGCATTTTGGTAGATGGAACTAAAAAAGATTTTCAATGGTATGAGATTTCAGCATCTTTAATTGAATCTAATAGAAGAGACTTATAATGGTGGGCATGTGTAACTTTTGCTTTGTATCTTTAATGTAGCATATGATGGATGACATCACAGAATTTTATTTCTTGGTGGCTCATTTCTGCCTTCCAAGATGAAAACAGAGGTATAATTGAGAATTGAGAAGCTGGATGAGAAAGGTGAAAAGAGAATCCAGCAAAGTACAAATTAGGTTTAGGTCAAGTTGCAGGGTTTCTCTGCAGTCCTTGCCTTCGTGGCACACTGGATTAGGACACATCCCCAACTGTGCTTATTAGGGCGCTAGTGAATGGGGTTAGAAAAACTAGCAGGGCATCTTTGGGAATTAGCTTGGATGCTTTTGCAAACAACACTTTTTCAGTAATCAAAGTTTGGGGGACTCCTGGTTTTTGTCTTATCTTCCTAGATTTTCTAGTCCATTGGTGTTGTATAATTGGCATTTCAAGATGAATGGGTTTAATATGAAAAGTAGGAGCTGCAGAGCTGGCTCGGCAGTTCACAGCACTGAAAGACCATAGGACTTGGGATCAATTCCCAGCACCCACATGGCAGCTCACAGCCATCTGTAACGCCAGTGCTAGGGGGACCCAACACACTCTTCTGGCCTCTGTGGCTACCAGGCATGCATGTGGTGCTCAGCCGTGCATAGAGGCAAAGTACTGATACAGATAAAATAAGTAATTTTTAAATGCAAATGTGTATATCTGAATTTATATAAATTATATCTCAATAGAATCTTTCTGCCAGGCCTGGTGGTACAGGCTTATGATCCCAGCACTCAGGAGGCTGCACTAGTTCAATGCTTGCCAGAGATTTAGAGAGTGAGTTCAATGCCTGCCCGAGATTTAGAGAGTGAGTTCAAGGCCAGGGTAGGCACCTTGGTGAGACCTAGTTGAAAATAAAAATTTAAACAAAAACCTTTTTTAGCATTTTTATATTTATTGCCTATATATGTATGAGTGTGCATATATGTGTGTGTGCACGCATACACACATGCAGAAAGCACACATGTGGAGATCAAGACAGTTTACAGTAGCTTATTTTCTCCTTGTGTCATCAGACTTATTGACAAGTGGCTTTACACACTGAGGCATCTTGCCAGCCCAAATTAAACCACTTTTGTTTTTGTTTTAAGAAAGGCTCTCATACTGTAGCCAAGGCTAGCCTCAAACTCACTATATAGTTGAGGCTGGACTTGAATTCCTGATACTCTTGCATCTACTCAATTTTGGCATGTGGATATCAGCCACCACACAAATCAGAAACATTTTTTTTTCAGTGGCACATGGCTCAGTGGCAGGGTGCTTGGATTTAATTATCAGTACTATTTTTTAAAAATAACAATCCCTCTTTATTGTACAGCAATATCTGCTCTCTTCTGTAAGTCTTTTTTCTGTGTGTCTGCATTCTGCAGGCTGGTGTGACGTGGCCTTAATGATGTCTATTCTTAATTACTCATCTCATTGATACAACAGAGCACTCTACAAAAGCAGCTTAAGGGAAAGGGCTTGTCTGGCTTACAGCTCCAGGAGATACAGCTGTGGCCAGGACTGTCGTGGCAGAAGTAAGTGACAACTTATCACAGCGCATCCAGACTCAGGGAGCAAAGAACAGCAAATGCTCATGTGCAGCTCACTTCCTTCTCCTTGCTCAGGCTGGAACATGACCCATGGAATAGCACTACCTACATTAGAGTGGGTCTTCCTCCTTCAGTTAGCCTGATCTGCATAATCCACAGACATTCGATAAGATCCATCTCTTCAGTGGTTCTAGCCCTTGGCGAATTGACAATCAATATTGAACATCTCAGTATCGTAGTGTTAAAATTAGGACAAGCTAAAGTTTGTTCCGAAGACACAACCAAACAATTTTTGACATTGATGAGCATGGACTGTCTTCTTCTTGGTGGTTTTTTGAGCCAGTCCCTTCTCTTACCCTACCTTATTGTCATTATATCCTGTGTAACTAGGATCAGAAAGAGAGTTAATTGCTGATTTTCCTCATGAACTAAAATAATGAGTAACCAAAGCCCTAATCTGGTAATGGCTCATCCACCTCTTAAATGCCCAGCCTACAGAAGGGACATGACAGCAGGGCCTCCAAGAGCCCTTCTCAAACAGGGGGCCGCACCCACCATCCGAAGATCAGTAAGCAATGTTGTGAATATTGCCTACGGTGTCTCTGAGGCACTGGAGTGATGCATCAATCCACAGGTGTGCTCAAGTCACACTGCACTGTTTGTGTCCTCATGCCACCTCTTGATCAGCTGAGCACATGGAAACCCGACTGAGATCACTCTGATCTGAACAGGCCCCAGAGCGCCAGAATTTGGTAGTTTGCTTTTGTAATATTAAAGTTCATGGACAATGCCTTCGATTATTTGTGCATTTGCTAAGGCCTTTGAGTCCATGAGGTCACCTTGTGTTTTTAAGTAATAGAAGTGGTCTTGTGTGCCATCTATTGGACCACAGGAAAATAATCAGCTTAGCTCACATTTCCTAGAAACACTGTTTTCCCTCTGTTCTGTGAGTTTATTCACTAACAAGGCAAATGCATGTTTAGTGGCCTGAAGGAATAGTGAGGGGTCCTGCACAAAGGAAACGGCTCTGGCAGTGTTGCCTTTCAGCCCATCATTTCTTCTTACAGTAACTTGACAGGGTTTATTTCAGTTAATTCTCACAACACAAAGTAGGCATTCTTCCAGCTCATGAATGACACAGAAACCCAACTGAAGTCATTTCTATGGGTTTCACAAAGCTAGGAAGTCAGACTGGCATAGCAACTGAATTTAGCCTTTGTCTGAAACCATGTCCTTAACCACCATGACTCTGGATAGATGGTTACCTACACTAGAAAGGAAAAGGTGTCCTGGTAATGGGTAACTGGCCTTTTAGACATGTTCTTGACTCATAGAATCAAATTTAAACAAGATCCCAGTGGGGTAAAGAGAAAGCCCTGGGTACAACATAATTCGTTTGTTAGTTAGTTACTTAGTTCGTTCCTTTGTTAGTTAGTTAGTTCGTTAGTTAATTTCATGAGGGCAGAGCTAGTGAGATGGCTCCGCAATTAAGAATAATAGCTGTTCTTCCAGAGGAACCAGATTCAATTCCCATCACCCACATGACAGCTCATAACTATCTGCTATTCCAATTCCACAGGATCCAACACCCTCTCCTGACTTCTTTGACCACTAAGCATGCAGGTGGTACACACACACACACACACCAGCAAATATCCATACACATTAAAAATAAAATAATGTTTAAAAATATTTAAACACAGCCCCAAAGTCACCTTCTTCAAGAAGAGTTGGTTTTTCCTTCCTTCGTGGATGCCTAGGGTCCCTGGTCATTAGGTGTCAGGGTTGGAGAAGCCTTAGACTGTCTTTTACTGAAGAGATGAAGGGATCAAGTTAAAAGGCAGGCTTGACCTTCTTGGGGCACACGGGGCTGTATTAAACAAGGTTGGAAGTCACATGTCAGGAACTCCCACTCTTGCCATCTGTCTGGCCGTAGCGGGAGCCATCCTTCACCTTATTTGGCTCTTTTCCAAGATGTGACCTGGAGGGAGTAATTAACTTTGAATCCAACCATACCCTGTCCCCGAGTTTCTTCTTAGTAGAAATTCACTAATGAGTATTAATTATTTAACTGTTTGTGGTAGATCCTTCTAGCAACCCATTCAGAGGCTAACCTATGAGGCTCTGTGGTAAAAAGAACCAGAATGGAAGATTGCCTGGGTTATAGGAACTGGAGAGATGAGTGAGTGGGCAAACCACTTGTTATGTAAGAGTGAGTGCTGGAGCTCATCAGATCCTCAGCCCCCACAAAGAATTAGGTGGGCATGACCTTAATCCCAGCCTTGGGAGGTGGACACAGCGGGTCCCACAGGAGGCTGGCCACTGAGACTAGCCAGAGTGTCAAGTTCTAGGTTCAAGTGAGAGACCCTGCCTCAATATATAAGGTAGACAAAAAACAGTAGAGGATTCTTAGTGTTGCCCTCTATTTTCCACATACATATTTGTGCACATGCACACAGTGTGCATGCGCGTGTATACACACACACACACACACACACACACACACATACACACACACCTACCTACCTATATAGGAAGAAAAAAGTTTGGGTTCAAATGTTGACTGTTCTCCTACCGGCTGGATGTGTGACTGGTTCCGTGGCTTCTCCACTCCTTGGTTTCTTCATCTGCAAATGGTAATGATAACAGTATATATTGAGACTTTAGCTTATAGCCATGCTCCCCACCATAATGATCATGGACTCTAGCCCTCTGCCTGTGAGTCCCAGGAAACGCTTTCTTTTATAAGTTGCCTTGGTCATGGTGTCTTATATCAATAGAAAAGTAACCTTGACAACCGTAATCCAAGACTTTAAACTAGTAGGCAAGAGAGGAGAAACAATTGAGGAGTAGATGTAGGCAGGGACTTTCTGAGTAAGACTCCAGTAGCTCAGGAAATAAAAGAGAGAACTGACAAGTGAGATCACACCAAATTAAACACCTTCTGTGGGGCAGAAGAAACAGTAGTCAGTGAAGAGACAGCTACGGGGTGAGAGGCAATCTTTGCTTGCTACTTATACAACCGAGACTTAATACTCAGGATATATAAAGAAAAAAATTACACACTGAAAGAACAAGAAATCCAGCTAATAAGTGGGCAAATTAATTGAACAAACACTTTTCAAAACTAGTAGTACAAATGGGCAATAAATACATGAAAAAAATGTTCAACATCTTTAGCCATAAAGAAAACTGTTAAGTCTAAAATATGTAGGCCTGTAACCCCAGCTGCTTAGAGTCTGGGGCAGGGAGATTATACGTTTAGATCCTTCCTGGGCAGAGAGCAAGCTCAATGTGAAAAGAGCTGCGATTATAGATTAGTGACAGAGTCATTCCCTGGCATTGAATAGGTACTGGGTGGGGCCAGGCTGGACATTGAGATTCTCTCCAGTCCATTGTGTTTTGGACATTCCATGAGCCATGAGTTTCATCTCTTGGTGCCCATAACCATTTAGGGAAACCGGAAACTTAGATGATGTAGATAGAGCCTAGTTAATGAATGTAGACCACTAAAGGCAGGCTTCTCAGGTTAGCTCAAGGCCTGCTACATAATCTGACAAGATGTGAACAAACTGAGCCACGAGCTGTTGCCACCATGGACCCAGCTGTTCCAGCCACCTCACCTTCCCTGCCATGGTGAACCATTGTCTGTGAAACTAAGCCCAAATAACCCTCCCCTAAGTTGCTTAGTTTGTTATAACAGGGAAAGTTACTAATGCAGGTATTTACAACAACAGCAAACAGCAAGACCAGTGAGATGGTTCAGCAAGTAAGGGAGCCTACTAACCTGAGTTCTGAGTTTGTCCTCGGAACCATGTTGTGGGAAGAAGAGACCCAGCTCCTACAATTGTCCTCTGGCCCCACATACATGCTGTGGCAGGCACTCACGCAAAAACCTAAAAAAAGGACTGCATGACCCAGATAGACCACTCCTGAGGATAGAGCTCAGACAGGCTTCAGCATGCAGTAAAGGTAGATGCCTGCCAGATTTGTGTGACTTGCCAGCAGAGCTGTGGCTTTGCCAACTGTTCCCAATATTGTGTGTTCTCTGGTGGTGGGCCTCTCTTTCCCTGCCATCAGGTTCAAATGTGAAGCTTCTTTGAAGCTGTTGGAAACATCTGTCCTTTATATCTAAAGATGATGTGATCTGAGCAACTAAGAGTGAGGAGCCAGCCAGATTTGTAATGGTGCAGACCTTTAATACCAATGCTCAGGAGACAGAGGTGTCAGTTTTATGTGGGTTTGAGGCTAGCCTGTTCTATATAGCATCTCTAGGACAGCCAGGACTACATAGTAAGACTATCTCAAAAAGACAAAGACAAACAAACAAATAAAAAAGTGAGAATGTCAGGTCCAACAAGCAAACAGCCCCAAGATATCAACTGGGCTCATAGCTGCACTAGCTAATTCCCTACAACGTCAATAAGCAACCACCTACACACACACACACACACACACACACACACACACACACACACACACACACCAGCTCCCACAATGAAATTCATAGCTGTATAAACATGACCAGGCACACCAACCTACCCTGTCTTTTGTGGGGTGGGGCCTCTTTATGTGTGAAACAGCTCATACTCCTGATGGTCAAATGGTGTGAACTGGGAATGACTAGAACTTTCCTGAGATTCCTCACCAGTTGGATCAAGAAGCCACAGGAGGCTGCAATTCCTCTGCTGTAAGCTGCCCATCTCAGGATGGCTGTTGTTACAGGTTAATGGGGTTGACTTGAGGAGCTGCAGCCATGAAGAAGCCATCACAGCCCTGAGGCAGACCCCCCAGAAGGTGCGCCTGGTGGTGTACAGAGACGAGGCGCAGTACAGAGATGAAGAGAACTTGGAGGTGTTCCTTGTGGATCTGCAGAAGAAGACTGGCCGAGGCCTGGGCCTGAGTATAGTTGGGAAACGGTAAGGATGGGTTGATTGTTCAAGGCAAGGTCAGCCTTTCTCTTCAGCCGATGGGGACCAATAGTTCTAAACACTCGAAATACTGAAAAATAAAGCCTACTGTAGAATAGTGATAGGGTTTCTAAGACACGTCATATTGTGATACAGCTGAACCAGTGGGCACACCTGATTCCAGCTGGGCTGCTGAGTCTGCATCAGCTCTGCAGTGAGGATTAGAGTGGCTGCCTAGGGCAGTATCTGTGGGTGCAGAGCAACTGCAGAGACAAAATGAGCTGCTTTCTGTTTACATGAGGACATCCCAGTCAGAGAACAGTGGTTCTGTTTCATGTTGTTTGTTGGGATAGGGGCTCACTGTGTTGCTTAGGCTAGCCTCAGACTCACAGCAGCCCTACCTCAGCTGGACTACACCACCACACCCGGTATTCGCCTTTATTATCGAGTGATAGATGACGTGACTCTCATTCACCAACAGCAGTGCAGAAAGAACATTTATATTCTTTACGTGAAACTTCATTGTAAAAGATCGGGTGCATCTCTTAAGGTTTACAAATCCTTTTGACAAGTAATTCCATAATTCCTTTTAAGATTTGCTTGCAAATGTCTATTGCACATATTTTACCGTAACTAAGGAATAGCAGAGAAAAAAAAGAAACAAAACAAACGTCATCAGCAGGTCTTCAGTTGTCAGAACACAGTTCTGACATGGAGTCATGTGAGAATTCTGAGTACTTGTGAGAAAATTCCAAGAAAGCAAGACAAGAGTCCTGTGACCAGTTTCTTCAAAACACAGAATTGTTCTTGGAATATGTTTTCATGCTTCTCCCAGGTGTAGCAGATGGAGTGAGCTTACTTCACCTGTTGTTATTTATATACCTCTATGGGGAGAAAAAAAAATACAGCTTTTGCCACATATTGTTTGTCTTTGTGATTAAACATCTGTCTCTTTGATTTCTATTAACCCTCAGTATAAATTTCCAGATGCTCTGAATAAAGTTGGCTATTGCATAGTATACAGCCATAAAAATGGGGATGCTCCGGTGCTAATGAAGACCAGTAGAGGTAGGGAGATAGCCCCCTTCCAGACCACATAGGTAGCATATGTGTGGTCCGTCTTCAGCCTTCAGCATGTCTCCCACAAAAATCAATTGCCATGGTGTGTAAAGACCAACTAAGACAAAAAATAAGGTCTTTTGTAATTACATCTCTGGAAGCTGAATCACCACAGCTTTGATGACTACATAGTAAGTTCTAAGACATCCTGGGCTACAGAGATAGTCCCTGGAGAGAGAGAGAGAAAGAGAGAGGGGGGGGAGGGAAGGTGGGAGGGAGAACATATGCTAGAGTCACAGATGATTGTAAGCTTCACAATTTGGGTTCTGGAAACAAAATTCTGGTCCTCTGTAAGAACAGAAGATTCTTGCAAGTGCTAAGCTATCTCTGTAGCTCCAAGAAACACACTTTTGATCTCTTCGATTTCGAAACAAATTTATTCAGCAAATAAAAGTAGTTCAGACTGAAAATAAGAGGCTGGGGGAGAAGGAGTTAGCTCAATTGGTAGACTGTTTTCCTGGCACCCATGAAGCTTTGCATTAGATTCTCAACACTCCAAAAAACAGTCTAGGTGGTATAGGCCTGTGATCCTAGCACTAAGGAGGTGGAGGCAGGAGAATGAGCAGTTCAAAACTGGCCTGGTCAACAGGAGACTGGGCAAGATGGGGGGGGGGGTCATAATCAAGAAAATACAAGAAGAAAAGGAGATTAGAGATAGAACTATTAGCAGCTTGATAGAAAGATTAGTAGGGCAAGGCACATGCCATCAGATTGATGACTTGCCTTAGAACCCTGGGACCCACAAGGTGAGAAGAGAGTAACAATCCCCACATGCTGTCCTCTGACCTCCATGAATGTATGGCATGCACATATCTACCTACACAAACACGTGATTAATTTTAAAAAAAAAAGTTTGTTTTTAAGAAAAGGAAGTTACTAGCAATGGGCTCTTCTCTAAGGGAATAGCTTGCTCACTTCTTTTCTGTATGGGGTGCTTGAATCACCCAAGGGTCACGCTTGCACCAGAAAGCAGTCAGCCACTGAACTGCACTCCAGGCCACAAACTCTGCCTCTTTAAAAAGTAAATTTCTGTTTTTCTTTACTAAAATCATCACCTCCTGAGTGCTGGGATCACAGGCTTACACCACCAATAAAAACGAAAGCATGGTAGGCAAAGATGGATTCACAACACGAAGCACAATCTAATTGTGAAGTGTATTATTTAGAAAGTTAATGGATGGCATTGGACTTAATGGGTTGGTTTTAGAACTTGTGGGTTTTAGATCTTAACCTAAGTCTTTATAAAGTAAGGTCCCTTTTAATGAATAGCTAACCTGCTGTGCCAATCCCACAATGTTTGGTGGTGTTAACAGGAGTGGAAGTGGAGTGTTCATTTCTGACATTGTGAAAGGCGGAGCTGCAGACCTTGATGGGAGGTTGATTCAAGGAGACCAGATATTGTCTGTGAATGGAGAGGACGTGCGGCATGCCTCTCAGGAGACAGTGGCCACCATTCTTAAGGTGAGTCCCTGGGCAGCTCCCCACCCAGCTGCAGTGACAAGTGCTCACGGAGCTGGCCCGGTCTCCCTGGCCTTGGTGGTATGTTTCTGCTCCGTTGTTACTAGAAGTATAATACCTAAAGACCAAGAACAACTCTAAAGGAAAGCTGTTGTGCTAACTAAGCAGACCCAGGGCCCTGCCTGGGCCTTTGAGGCAGTTCCTCATGCTAGTGACTGTTCCATCTGTCACACTTGTCATCCAGCTCATTGGACAGAACGTCCTCTCCTAGATCATAAGTCCACCTCTTCCCTCTACGTTAACCAAACCCAACCTTGATCACTGGGAGGAAATGCTAAGGCTCATCTAAACTGGTTTCTCAATTTCACAAATGAAGACAGAGTCACAAAGCTCTGCTTGGGTGGGTTGCTCCCGCCTGGGCTCTGGTGAGCAGTTCAGACTTTGCAGCTGAGGGGCTCTGCCTCATGAACCTCCTTCCCCTTTAGTTGCAACCAGTGGATCTCAAAAGCAACTGTGGAAGCTTGTGCCGACTGATGGGGTTTGTTTTAAAAATCAGGGTTCCTGGTGCAGTCAGCTCTCAGTTCTCTGCAAAGGAAGGCCTGGATTTGTGAACTCTCTCCTGCTGGACTTCCCACACTGCTCTTTCCCACTATTTGACTGTCTCGTAGGGAGATAGAAGAGAAAAAGGGCAGGTGGTACCAAACCCACTTGATGCATCTGAACAGCTGGCTCATGGATGAAGTGTTGACTTGCTCTTTTGTTTGGGTTTTGGACGACTGGTTCCCTTTTTACCTGTTGTCCTAGTTACCTCTAGGAAGCTGCAGGAGACTGAAGGACCCACTCTGCTGTTTTAGATCATAGATGCTAATGTGTTTGACTTCTGTCTTTTCTTGTCTTCCCCAGTGCGTCCAGGGCCTCGTACAGCTGGAGATTGGGAGACTCCGAGCCGGTTCGTGGGCCTCCTCTAGGAAAACCTCACAAAACAGCCAGGTTAGTGATGTCTTCTCAGAAGACTCACTCGCTCTGGGGCACCTGCTGGGGGAAAGTCCCTCATTTCATAAGCAATTGTTTAGAAGTGATGTCTGATGTACCACATAGTCACAGCACCAGCTTCAGTGTGTTTCCGTGTGTTTGAAATAAAAGTGAAAGGTGGGGTGGAAATTCATTAAGCCCCACATTTTTCTTCCCTTTATTGCCTATAAGTGTTTTCTTAGAACCATTTTTCTCTCCCACTGTTCTATATTGCCTGTGCACACACGTGCACAGCTGTGTTTATTCTAAAAAAGAAAAAAAAAAAGGGAAGTAACATCTGGTGGCAATTTGACCCTCATTAGCACAACATTGTTCTGTTCATCCAATTAAATGTTGCTATAAAGTTAACTTGTGAATAGCCACTCACACATGCTGAAGGCAATTAATGGTGTATTCCTAGGAGAGTGAAGTATGGGGGTCTTTCTTATGGCAGGGAGGTATTAGTGGGTGACATTTTGTGAGTTAGCAAATATATTTATTTGCAAGACTGATGTCAGTACCACCTTTTTAATGAAGTATTTTCACGGTAATTTTGTGTGTGTGTGTGTTATAGTGGCTGACACACTCAGTCTACCTCTCTTAGTCCCACTTGGCTCATGATTCAGCTGCATGAAACTTGCATGTAACCCCCTCGTCTCTTTGGGGGTTGTGGACAGACCCCCTTTTTGAGGTTAAAGTGTGACTTTTAGTCCTTTTCTGGTTGCCTTATAGCTATAACCTCCTCACAGCCTAAGGTGTCCTGGATTTGTGGTTGGCATATCTGCTTCTGCAAAGCTGTCAGCTGCTGCTTTGCCTCATTAGTGTTAGGAAATGGGAAGATATATTATTGAAGACAAATGAGTTCGTGGGTAAATGTACTTGCCACCAAACCTGATGACCTGAGTTTAATTCCTGGAACTCTTTTTGTGGAAGGAGAGAACTGACTCCCAAAAGTTGTCCTCTGACCTCCTTGCTCATACTATGGCATGTGTTTGTGCACACGCATGTGCACACACACAAATAAGTTTAATAAAAGAATTTTACATCTGTGTCATTGGTCAGACAGGAACATAGACTAGCTGCTTTGATGTCAAAGATCTTCAGAGCAGCCCTAGTGAGACTGCTCAGGGGTTAAGATTATTGGCTGCTCTTCCAAAGAACCCAGGTTCAATTCCCAGCACCTACATGGTGGCTCACAACTGTCTTTCACTCCAGCTCTAGGGGATCTGACACCTATACTCACACAGACATAAGCACCCACATGTAAATGAAACGTAAAAAGAAAAACCTTCAGAGCAATCAAACCTAATCCACACTGTTAAGTTTGGATCCACCCCTCTCACCCCCAGCTTCATAATTAACAGCAAACATAGATGAGTACAGTGCTGCTTATTTCACAAGTGAATGATCAGGGCCTCAGTGGAGACTTGAGTTGACAGTGGGAGCTGCAGATACAAGACAGGCTTGCTCCACCTCTGTAGGGCTAGGGTTGTACATGTGTACATGTATGTATGTCATGAAAATGTAGCAGATTTTCAATTATGCAATCTAGGCATATCTATAATTCTTATAACTCGTCTGCTTATTTTAGATCTTCCTTAAGGAATAATGTTTTAAGGGTTCTTCCATAGTTAAATAAATGATCATAGTTAAATAAATGAGCACCTGCCGAGTTTGGCCCTTAGCACCAACCAAAGAGAGGGGGGTGGGGAGAGAGAGAGAGAGAGAGACAGAGACAGAGGACTGAAGCCAGGCATGATGACACACACTTGTAATTTCAGCACTCAGAAAGACCTAAGTTCAAGGCCAGCCTGCATTACATAGCAAGACCCTGTCTCATAAACAAAACACATTATAATTTACCAAATGGTTGTAGTGTGTTAGTCTTAGCTTAAATTTCAGTGCAGTTAGGCATCGGCTCAATAACTAGGTAATTAAGGAAGTCATACTGTTTGCTTCCTCGAAGGACAGGGCCAGTCACTGAAGACCGTAACACTGTGGCCACCTAGGAAAATGTCTGATTTCATGCACAGCAAAAGCAGCTTGAGTTTCATTCTTACTGTGACTGAACAGCTGCAGTGGGGAGCACACCGGAGCGAATGTGTCATGGGCTGGGTGGTGAGGGCTGAGTGCGGTGACTAGTTTTCTTTCTCGACTAATTCAGAATGTTCTGTAGATGACTGCTGACCTCAGACACTGTAGGATCTGACTGAAGATGTATGTCTAGGGCCGTGCTAGTCCTGCATGCCAGTGACCACAGTGTCTCTTTCTCAGGGGGATCGGCACAGTGCACACGGCAGCTGCCGGCCTTCCTTCGCCCCTGTAATCACTGGCCTACAAAACCTGGTTGGCACAAAAAGAGCTTCTGATCCTCCCCAGAAATGTAAGTTCAAGGCCAGCCCAAGCTACTTAGTGTGGCCTATTTAAGAAGGAAAAGTTGGGGCAACAAAAAAGCAAAAACTATAGAGTGCATCAGAAAGTGCAGCTCTCACAGAGAAAACATGAGAGCATACAGGTGGCTGGAGGGGGTGAGAAGTGCCTATGTCCTGGAGAACAGAGTGGGGACAGGGGTTTTTAAATCCCTCTTAGGTCAGGGTTACCTTTGAGTAGGGCAGAAAAATATACAATGAAACCCAAATGGGTTATTCCCCAGCTTCGAGTCACCATGTTGCAGGTCATTGCTGCTGCAGGGCCTCGGCTTTGGTCAGAACAAATGATCATGACATCTGTCCACAGAGTCCCTGAAGACTCAGTTGGGTCCTGATGCTGAGGAGGGGTTTACCTTGCTTGCTTTAGACTCCTTTCTTGGAAACCTAGAAGAATGCTCAGGCCTTTATGGGAGTGTTACATCTTAAGTGTATCACCTCTGACACAAAAGCATTAATTGGCCTTGCTTCTTTCATAGGCACAGATGTGGGACCAAGGACTGTGGAGATAATCAGAGTAAGTCAGTTACTATTTTCATTCTAGTTTGTACATTTTCTTTCTGAATATAACTTATCGGATTATTTGTTCTTCTATTAGTATAGTAAGTATACAACTGAAATAGACTTTTAAAAAATAAATTGAAACATATAAAAGGCCATTGTGAATATTTTAGTATATCCGTTTCATAAGTGTGTGTTTAAATTTCATGCAACAGAAAGTATGTTGTTCATTGTCTTGTAGCTCATCTTCTTTACCTTGCTATGTAAACTTGGAGCCATGTCAGTGCTCATGGCAGCATAGAACACCATTGTTACTGGTGATGTAGCATTTACTCCACTGTCAAGGTGTGGAATTTTCTTAATCAACTTCCTCTCCTTAAACAATCATCATGCTTCTTTTTTTCTCTTTTTAGATGTATTTTTATCGTATGTGTATGAACATTTTGCCCACATGTAATCTGTATACTATGTGTATGACTGGTACCCACAGAAGCCAGAAGTGGGCAATGGATCCCTTAGAACTGGAGTAACAGATGGTTGTGAGCCACGACAAGGATGCTAGAAATCGAACCCACAGCCTCTGCAAAAGCAACAAATGCTTTAACTATCCAATATCTCTCTAGTCCCCATGTTTGATATTTATCTTATAACAGCCATTGTTATATTTACATTTTTGTCTGTGTCACAAATTATCACCTCAGGATGAATTCCTAGAAAGGAAGCTATCAGATCCAAAGCCACGCTTGAAGCCAGAATTCGCCTTGGTTGCAGAGCACTTGGCTAGCATATGCGAGGCCATGCTTTCCATCTTCAGCATGTGGGAGTGCTTCTTATTAAAGGCTGTTATGTTTTGTTGAATAGCTCTTTTGAGAATATTGTATGAGGTTTATTTCAGTTCATACATTTTTAGATGCTGTAGACTATAAACTTGAGGTTCAAGAGTAGTAATAGGACTACTGCACTTTTGTAATCAGCGTAACCAGTGCAGTGAGTAGTTCCTGCACAGCTCTGCTCTCTGGATTCAATCATAGCTCTTTGACTGTGTTTATTTGGTGGAGCTGCCTAACAAAGTATTATAGGCAGGGTATCTTCAACAGCAGATGTTAGTTTCCCATGGTTTTATAGGCTAAAAGTTCAATATTAGGGTTAACTTTCTGAGTTCTCCTTGGCTTACAGATGGCTGCCTTCCTGTGGTGGCCTCATGTGACTTGTCCTTGATGTGTTTCGTCATTCTGCAGTCTGTCCTGTTACATAACCTCTCCCATGAGGATTCCTTGTTGGACTGATTTAAAGCTCATCCTAGCGGTCTCATTATAAATACTGTCTCAAAATGGAGGCATGTTCTGAGAAAGTAGAACTTGGGGCTTCAGTATTAAACTCTGAACACAATCATCTGTAGCATCAACTCGCTGAACTTTCATTCAATCCGCCTCAATTTTGCCATCTATAGCATAGGCTTGTAAAACTAACTCAGATCACAGACCAATACTCTGTATGGATTAAATGCTGAGCCTGATGCTTCAGGTCTGTATCTCTACATTTTGGAGACTAAGACAAGAGAATTGCCATGAGTTCAAGACCAGCCTGGGCTATATAGCCAGTTCCAAGCCAGCATGGCCTATAGAGGCCAAAATAAGTAAATGACATAAGATAGATAAAGCATGTAATTCTGAGTCCCTTCTAAAGGTCAGAAAGTCGCATCTGTCCTTTCTGGCTGCAATTTAGCCAAGCTTACTTGACCTGTATCTTTCCACTAGAGTGCCAGTTGAGATGCTCTGTGATAAAGAAGTTAAATACACCAATAGTATGCACAGTTGCAGATAAAACACAGATGGCGCTAAGGCCAAAGCATTCTGAGATTTTAAAAATATTTTATATATCTTTAGCAATTTTAATCCTTTCATTTTACAGGCTTCTATAATAGGCCTGCTCATACCCACCCCATTCTCACATGGACATTCATGAACTTCACAATAAAACATCTCTTGCGAGCACTGGCTGCTATTTCAGAGGTGCTGGGTTCAAGTCCCCCAGCATTGGTTCACAACAGTCTAGAACTCCAGCTACAGGGCATCTGCGGTGGTTTAACTGAGAATGACTCCCATAAGCTCAGATATGTGAATATTTAGTTACCATTTAGTAGCCTGTTCAGGACCAATTAGGAGGTGTGTCCCTGTTGAAGAAGGTGTTGTCACTGGGTTGGGCTTTAAGGTTTCAGAACCCTACCCCATGCCCAGTTCTGCTTCTGTCTGCTTTGTGCCTGTAGATAAGATATAGGCTTTCAGCCACTGCTCAAGAGTCCTGCCTACTTGCTGCCATGCTCCTACCATAATAGTCCTGGACTGACCCACTAAGGCTGTAAGCAAGCCCCCAATGAAATGCTTCCTTTGATGTCACCTTGGTCATAGTATCTATCTCTTCATGGCAATCCAAAAGAAACTAAGGACAGGATCCAACACCCTCTTCTGGCTTCTTTGGGCTTGCACCACAGCCACCCAGCGGCTACAAATATCTTTCAATGAGAAGTTCCAACTATAGAAACTGTGTGACCATGTAGGTCCTTTTCCTCATGGAGTAGCACTTATGTCCCCTGCCTCTGTTTTGTTTTCCCATGCTGGGATCCAGCCAGGGTCCTTTCGTGTCTATAAAACAAAGTTACAGTGTTTGCTTCCAACTGTCCTCCATGTTCTGAAGAACATTTGAAGAGAAAATGGTCACATTTTTCTCTGCATGTTAACACGCTTCAGATTTTACCCTGGACCTCGTGTCTGTTAAGTTGTGTCAACCCTGAAGAATAATGGTGCTTATGCTTTAGCAGGCCATCAACCCAGTTAGATCGAGAGGGCAATTTTTGTCGGCCCTTATAGTGATTCAAATCAAAGTTTAACAATCAACAATTTTGGTATGCTGAGGTCTCTTCCGCACTTAGTAGATTAGAACTGAGCCTGAGCATCCCGTGCATTTGTGCCCAGAATTCGGGGTCTCTTTCTAACTCCTTCACTCTGAAGAGCCTCTCTTATTACCCGGCGGTCAGATATGCCTGTTTCTGGTTCTCCCGGCCAGAAGGATGGAGTTTACATCAGAATGTTAGTGGTTCAGCCACCTTTTCAGCTCCCAGTTTTGACTGGGAGTCTCCCTCGGAGCAAAGATGGAATACACATGCATGCACCAATACACATGTTCACCTGCCTGGGCTCACCTGTATGTATATTCGTGCTCAAACACACATACACTCACAAGTGCATGAGCACAAGCTCACACCCACGTGGTGAGACCGGGGACAGTGTAACCCTGCTGCTCTGGCTTCTCCAAATTTTCACTTACCAACCCAGGTTTAGCTCCTTTCTGTTGCAGACGCTGTGACACACTTTGACAAGACTTTCCCATTACAATCAACAGGAGCCATAGATAGACTTGGTGAGAGTGCCAGCCCACTGGAACTGCAGCTTGTCATTTCTTCTTTTAGCCATTGTGAAAATATTAATCGCTCTGTGCACAAGGGTCCATCTTTGCAAAGATTTTTGCTACTATTTTACTTCCCTCTCCAAACTGTTGTCACAACAGTGGGCACCCTCTAAGATCCTTTGTTTAATGCAGCCATGTAGCTCTTTTGAAGCCAAGTGTGTTTGTTCACACCCAGAACATGATATGCGTGGCAGTTTAATCATAAACACCATATGAGAACACACTTGCCAAGGCTGCGTCAAATTGGCCGCTCCACTGAGCAGTACTGAAGGCTTTTGTTTTTTAATTTACTGCTGCTATTGGCTTTCATTGAACCTCTTCTGTAGGCTGGGACAGCACCATGTTATCTTATTTATGCTCAAATTATCCCTGTGTACTATGCAGTCTCTTTCCCATCTTCTTCATAAATTGAAGGCTCCCAGAGATGGACTTCTCTGAGGCCTCCAACAGCTGCCTGACTGCACAAAGAGACATAGGCCTTTTTGATGACGCCCCCGGCCCCCCCCCAGCACTCAGCTCCCACATTATGCTGGCCTCCTATGTCATGGAGAGTTTTTGTTCAGTGTAATCTGAGGGCAGTCTATCTATGCATATTACTGAAGATGCCAGGCTTCTGTTCTCTCCCTCTCTTTTTAGGAGCTCAGTGATGCCCTTGGAATCAGTATCGCTGGAGGAAAAGGAAGTCCTTTAGGAGATATCCCGATATTTATTGCCATGATTCAGGCCAGTGGAGTGGCTGCACGTACCCAGAAGCTTAAAGTAAATATGAAGGAGGTGATAGACAGCGTGTGTTGGTTGGGGGAGGAGGTTGTAGCCACGGGGACCTTGTTTAAATTTGGAATTGCAAAAGCCATCAGCCGCCCATGCTGAGGGCAGAATACATTAGCAAGGCAGCAGACCTGAAATTCATTACGTCCCTGACATATAAAAATGTTGTTTTTATCAGTGCTTAACAGTAAAAGAAGGAATCTCACCTTCTTACAAACCTCTGAAAAACCCCTTTAGCATCTCATTTATCCAAAATTGTTTTTTAACTCAGATTTGATCCTAGAATCTCCCACCCACCGAAAGTATCAACATTTTTATGATTTTTTTTTCTTATTGTCCCTTAATCTTAACTGAGGTTTTAAAAATTAAGCAGGAAATACTTGGCTTCCTCATCAGAGCTTCATTGAGCAGCTAATTTGTGCATCCCACTCTTACTGGCAAGTGGGTGTATAAAACACCACAATTACCAAAATACAAAAGTGACCTGCAGTGCCTTTTAGTAATCAAATCTGACCCCCTTCTTGTTTCTCTGATTAGGCTGCCTTTGGGGAAAGCCATAAAAATCTCCCACACTCCACAAGAGCCAGCTCTCCACAACAAGGCAGATGCGAATACAACTCACGAAGAGTTTTAGGCATTCTTCTCAAATTTAATTTTTTCCTAATGATAGTGATTTTCTCCCACTTTTGTCCTTCCAGGTTGGAGATCGGATTGTGAGCATTAATGGGCAACCTCTGGACGGACTGTCTCACACAGACGCCGTTAATCTACTGAAGAATGCCTTCGGGCGCATTATCCTGCAGGTATTGCGATCAATGGAGAACCAGCTGGGAGAGGCAGATAAGTGGCAGGAGAAAAGACAAGCAAAGCCTCACTGGCAGTAGGCATCACCACCCAGCGGGGCGCTCGCCGGTGTGAATTATGAAGGGTGAAAGCGAGAAATTATTATTTTTATTCAGAAACTCTTTAATGCCACCCATACAGGCATGAGCAGGATTATATGAAAGTATAACAAGGGGAGAAAAATTACTCTCAGCTTCATGTGATAAATCAACAAGGCTTTTAGCTTCCAGCATTCTTTTGTAAATTGAAGTTTGCAAGGACTAGGAAATGATTTCCTTTCTTACATCCAAAGCCTGTTACTGGGCAGCCCATGCACTGTTCCCTGCCCCTTTAAAGGCAGAGAAAAATACAATGCGCTTTCTCCTACACCATGAATGGTTGCCAGCACCCTGCAACTGTTACTACATAGTAGTCATCAATTAAGGCAGACAACTACTGATCAGCTCTGGCCCTGTGAGTATTGTCCAGAGGCACTGGGAATATGGAGGAACTAAAAGCAAAACGTGCTGTTAATTTCCCTCCCTCCAGTTCAGCCCTTCGTGTGTCTCTGAGATTGATAGCATGCAGAGAGTGGAGAGGCCCATACTGGCTGTGTGACTTTCATTAATGAGTAGCCCTAAAATGAAGGGTTATAATCACCGTCACTTACAAAGAGGTAGTAGAAGATGACTTATAGGTAAAAAGAATAATGCACACAGCCAGCACTCAGATAATCCTAGCCTTAGAATAAGAAGGTTGAATGGAAGAGCCATGACATTCAGAGAGGTGATTTGTGGTTCTTAGCTCTGAGAGCTCAGTGGTCTAGGTCCAAAGTGTTAAAGCATTTAGCAAGGTAAAGGGCTCTTAGTACACGTGATGGGAGTCATGAAACAGTCTGTGGTTTCAAACAAGAGGCCAAATAATATTTGCGTCCTTAAGTGTCTGCTGAATGCCAACCAAAGCAGGACGTGTGCAGCCTTGGCCTGGCTTCTCCTTGGCTGTGTGTTGTCCTCAGGGTGGAAGTTGCTGGTCACAGTTGCTCACACTCCTGCTACAGGAGCTTTGTTTTTGTTTGTCCATCCTTCCAGTTCTACGGAATCTTTGTCCCTTGTTCCAGGGTCACCTCTTCAGTCTCAGCTGCTAGTCACAGGGGGCATGAGAGGGCCTCAATGGACTAGAAAAGGGGGCTTTCTCTTAGTGTCTGGTGCCACTGGTATTCTTACACACTGACTAAATCCGTGCAGCAGCTCCACCTTCTTTACACGGAAACATGACGCAAGCTGGATCTAAGATGCAGCTCATGATTGAACTCTTCGTAGCATGCACAAAGCCCTGGATTGAGTCCCAGCACCCCTCCACACCACTCCCCAAAAAGACACAGAATTCAAGGCCATCTTTTGCTGCATAATTAGTTCAAGGCTACCTTTGGCTATAGAGTGAATTCAAGGCCAACCCCGAGCCCCTTGAGACACTGTCTCGGGGAAAAGAGAAAAAAAATTTTTAGAAGCTTGGTTTGGTGACCATATCTACAATCCCACTTCTTGGGACACTGAGGGGGCAGGATCAGGAGTTCAAAGTCAGTCTTGATCCTATAGAAAGTTAGAGGCAAATCTAGACTGCTTGAAACTTTGTCTCACAAAAACCAAATTCACAAAGGTAACACTTCATCCTAGTTAAGTTGTTCCTGTCAGCATACTTTTTAAAAATATTTCTTATAAAGGGCCTGGGGAGATGGCTCAGCAGTTAGAGAGCATTGTCTGCTCTTCCAAAGGACCTGGGTTAGATTCTCTGCACCCACAGGGTCACTCACTGCCTCTGTGACTCCAGTTCCAGAGGCATCTTGTGCCCTCTTCTGGCTCCTTTGGCATTGCATGCACTTGGTATACAAACATACACACAGGCAAAATGCTCATACAAATGAAATGAGAAAAATAAAATCTTTTAAAATTGTATTTAAATATTTTTATGAAGTGGCAAATATATTTTAATTGATTTCAGATAAAAAGCTATAGAACAGTGAGCCTGTGGGTGGTGGCACATGACTTTAATCCTAGCACTTGGGAGACAGAGACAGGTGGATCTCTGTGAGTTCGAGGCCAGCCTGGTCATTAGAGTGAGTTCCAGGATAGCTAGAGGTGCTACACAGAGAAACCCTGTCTTGAGAGAAAAAAAAAGAGTGATTGCTTCTGCCCACTCTCACAGAGAGCTGCTTTTGTTTTATTTTGGTCTCTCAATGTATCCCAGGCTATTCTGGGATCCTGTGCCTCAGCCTCCACAGTGCTGGGATTACAGGGTTATGCCACTGCACCACCATGGCATGCTCACTGTTAAGAGCCTGTTTGTGAAAGAGCTCCTTTTCTTCTCCTCCTCCTCCTTCTCCTTCTTCTTCTTTGTTTCTGTGTCTTAAAAGTGACATTTCAGTCCAAGGTGTTCTCTGTTGCAAATCATGTTACTTGCTGTTTGCATTTTTTTTATTTGCTCTGAACACATCAATGGACCCTCTGAGGAGTTCACAGTTGAGTTATCCACACTAAATATGGAGCTTGCATGGCGGCGGATGTAGTATACACAAAGCTCAGCAAGTATCCCTCTCAAGTGCCTTCCAGTCACACAGTGTTCACTTGAATTAAAACAGTGTGCAACACAATTGTATGGCAGCTGACTCATCACTAGGTAGTTATTTTTATTTCTATCAGATAGGTCATTGGCAGGGGAAGTAGACAAGGCCAGGAAATTGTGCCTGGTGATTTGGAAAAGAGACATGTGTATGCACGGTTTGTGTATGCACTTGGGCAGACCACAGGTCGTTCTCAGTCCAATTTCACCTTCAGCAAGCCCCAGCCTGTCTCCACCTCTCCAACACAGGGTTTATAGACACACACCACACTCTTTGCTTCTTATGTAGATGCCAGAGAATGAACTCAGGTCTTCACACCTGAGAGGC